ACACTTTGTTAGACATCATGTTAGCTAAGTGGGCTAGCCCCAACTTTATATATATATATATATATATATATATATATATATATATATATATATATATATATATGGATGGTACTGGTACAATATTACATGTGAAAGTACACAAATTTGACAAAAATCAAAAGTATGTTGCTATTTAGTGAAGTTGTGGACAAAACAAGAAATAGATGACAAACACACGAAACCAAAGTACGACACTTGGGTATCGATTTTAGACATTATACAAAGCTTATGTATAGTAGATAAAAGCTTAGTTAGCTCAAATTTATAAGTCTCGAATAATATGTGATTATATTAGATGAATTATGATATGTGAATGATATATAAGGTATCCCACTGAAACTATTATGAAAACCAAGTCTTGGTATACAATATCAGTACTTTTGATATTCCAACATCAAGTTAAGACAAAAATGAATCTGATGCACAATTAATTGGGTCAATCAAATATTAGATGCAAAAGTTATGCCAAACAGAAACTGTCACATGGAATTTATCGGGCCAAGTATACCCAAGAGAGTAGTATCACTCAGAACGCATGTAAGAAAAAGCATTCAAATAGTAGGAATCAATTCATATCACGTGGATGGTGTGATCTCCTTCCCTACACTTTATGTGGATCGCACAGGGTCGAGTATGGGTCAGATTGACCAAAGGTTGAACCATACGATTAAATGGACCATTTTTTTTTTTGGGTTTTTCTCTCATTTACTCTTTAGAAGTTTCATAAATAAAATGTGGGCGACCAATGTAAGAATAATATGTGTCACCATGATGTGATTCAAATGCAAATTAAAGGGCTTTTTTGCATCAATGCTTGGAATCGGAGGTAATTTATGAACTCTAATCGCTCTTTAGATTGCGAAAATTTTGTTATTGAGGTGTAACAAACATAAACCTATAAATCCTTAAGATATTAATTTACATTTGTGTGTTAATTGTCAAATCAGACAAGTAATTAAAGAAAATATTGAGTTTGTATGGATAAATTTTCTAAAACATATCATAGTTGATATCCTGAAAAAATGAAGTTATGTATTGATTGTAACTCATTCCAATTTGAAATTCAAATTAAAAAAAAAATAAATAAATAAAAAAAAATAAATAAAAAAAAATCGCAACAACAACTAAACTTGGGTAAAAGCACACACGAGCTTACTATCAACGAGTCTTGTCACAACTCACAATTTCTGTTTATAAAAAGCACACACGAACTGACTATCAATGGCGTCTACGACAGTCACGAATTTGACACCTTTTCTCCTTGTTGGTCTCGCCTTCGTCTTGTTTTATAGACACCCGTCTTCTTCCATCACCCTAAACATGACTCAAGAAACCCCCAAATCCGTTCACGACTTTACTGTTAAGGTAAAATCACTTCTCTTCATTCCGATATTCTTGTTGTTCTTAAAAAAAATACGATATCTGATTTTGGGTTTTCATGCTTTTCGTTTTCTCTAAATATCCTACAATTCCTGGTTGCAAGGTCAAACCAACTAAATTTTAACTTGAAAATTGATGATCAATTGATCAATTCCTTCAAATTTGATGGGTATACGGCAATCGATTTAAGCCATATAACAGGCCTCACGTATCAATGCAGCTCGGTTTACTTTGACCTCAAGATTCATATCAGTTTTTGATATGAAATTGCTAGATTTGGATTCAAAAAATTCAAACTTTATCTCTTTATCCCCCTTTGAATGGAAGGAATATATATTGATTCATTTTCTTCTCAATTTTTATTGGTTTTATTTAATTCGATGTTACAGGATATTCGTGGAAATGAGGTGCCTTTGAGCTCTTACAGTGGAAAGGTTCTCTTGATTGTCAACGTTGCATCAAAATGGTAAAGAACTTCAATTTCTGCTTCAAAATAGCTCAATTCTCTGATATGTTTGTGGATATTGCAGAGTTTATTGATTTTAAACTTGTTAGTAGCCATTAAATAGAAACTGTTTTGTGTTTTATGTGTAATATTGTAAAGATCTTGGTTCAAAGGTTATATGATACTTGATGAATTGCCCTCATAAAAACATTTTATTAAAAAAAAAAGGTGAAGCAAATCTTGATTCGATGAGATTGATGATTTGTTGGTTCATAGATTGGTATAGAAATTCTTGATTTAGTTCTTGAAAATATCGCATCATTTTGGCAGCATTTATTGTGCCCATGTTCACCATGATGTTATAAATTATAATTAAAACAAATGGATGGTAGTTGAGGGTATCCACATGGATTTTATCTCTTATTTTATTTAATATGTATTTCTACTTTAATACTATTATTATTATCACCATCTACATTCAAAGGAGTCCATATTTGACTTTTGAGGTAAAATGAGTCATCTTTTACTTCTAAATCAACAAGATTTAGTTCCTTTTGTGTTGAAGAAAAGAATTTGTATTTGTATTCAAGAAAGAATTGTTAACTATGTTATTTTAAATATTGTTAAAATATGAATTTGCAGAGTCTGGGGTTTACTTTGCAATTTCTGAAGTTCAATACACTTCAATTATTCAATAATTACAAAATACAACTATTTTTTGGCTAATTTTAATATATCGTCATTTGTTTATTTCAACAGTGGATTGACCGAGTCAAACTACAAAGAATTGAATATATTGTACCAAAAATACAAAAATCAAGGTACATTTATCGTATTATGCATGAAGTAGATTCATATTTACTTTTTTACTTTGACTTTTTCATGGTTTTGATTATGTGACTTTTCACATTGTTGACAGATTTTGAAATCTTGGCTTTTCCTTGCAACCAATTTCTTTGGCAAGAACCAGGGACAAATGAGGAAATTCAGGATACAGTGTGCACTAAATTTAAAGCCGAGTTCCCGATATTTGACAAGGTGTTTTGATGACTTAATTTTCTTTTAAACTCCTCATTATTAGTGTCCTAAGGTGCTTTTAGCTTCGATATCTCAAGAAATTGTTACATTTTTTATCGGATAGAGGGGCGAATTCGTAAATTTTAAGGAAATACATTCTTGGATCATTGCAGGTTGAGGTTAATGGGAACAATGCATCACCCCTATACAAGTTTCTAAAATCAGAAAAAGGTGGATTCTTGGTTGATGGCATCAAATGGAACTTCACAAAGTTTTTAGTTACCAAACAAGGAAAAGTTATCCAAAGATATGCCCCTAAAACCCCACCTCTTGAATTCGAGGTTAGTATTCAAAAAAATCCAAAAGTATTTCCATTTTGGTTACTGAATTCTTGAATTGTTTCTTTGATTCTAAACAGAAAGACATTCAAAATCTGTTGGAATCATCATCTTTTTGAGAGACACAACAAGGTGTGACTAATAAAGATCTTTAAAGTTTTTAACTTTATCATGTTATGCAAGTATTTTTGGGCCAAATGTATGTGTAATCTTGTGAAATTAATGGGTTTTTTCTTTTCAGAAGAAAGAGAATGAGCAATGGGGGATAAGATATAGAGAGAGAGAGAGTTGAAGGTTGTTGTGGGTTATGTGTTTGGTTTATAGTTAGTGAAATAAGCAACACTCTTTCTTACACTTGTAATTGGATGATGTTATAATTAATAATTCAAATTATATATTCTTTTTTTTGTTTAAAAAAAGGGGAAAATATAAATAGCTGTTTGACTTATAACGCAAACATACACACAATAGAATCGCTAGAAGGAGGGCTTGAACCTCCGACCTTGTGGTTAACAGCCACACGCTCTAACCAACTGAGCTATTCCAGCTGATTTGGTTACAAAACATATATATAAAATCATAAAATGGTTAGAAGTTATATTTCAGAAAGTGTATATGTGATTGCTTACTACTATTAATAGAGACAAAATAAAAATTTCTTTTATTTTATTAAAGGAACCGTTTTAATAAAACCTACACCTCTTTATTTAACAAGGAAATGCTCAAATCCATTTTGATTTTCCAAGTTGCTTTTCCTGTCTTCCATATTTTTCATGCCTATTATCAAAGAAAATGGTAAAACCGTGAATAAAAAGTTGAAGAAAGGAAGTGTTTTATATATATATATATATATATATATATATATATATATATATATATAACATGTGAGGAATATATTGGATGTGGATATCAATATGAGAAATGACATGTCATGAAAATATATTAAGGTATATGTCGCTATAGTACAATCAACTATCGTTATTTATCCGACTTGGTCACTAAAGTATTTTTTCTGCGCAATAAGTCATTAAAATTACAGCTTACCTGTCTATTAAGTCACTTCCGTTAGTTTTTAGCATATTCTCCGTTAACCAGATATTATAAATTACACGAATGGTCCCTATGATTTCAATTTCTTTCGTGGTTGGTCCCATACCAGCATTGTTCATCATCGACATCGCCGCCGTTCAATTCCGGCAACCACCACCCTTCATCTCGGGCAACCTCGTTAACCATTATTCTAACATACGATTACTCACACAAAAGTCTCAATCGATTTTAATTTTTATAAAAAACATAATTTCAACGAGTTTCAATTTTAAAGAATGCATTTAAAATACCAACGTACACATTTTTATTTGCGGCAAGAACCCTATATTAAAAACTGAATATTTTTAATGCAACTATTTCAGCGAGTTTAATTTTAATTTTAAAGAATGCATTTAAAATACCAACGTACACATTTTTATTTACGACAAGAACCCTATATTAAAAACTGAATATTTTTAATGCAACTATTTCACCAAATAATATTTAATGTAATTTGCAAACTTCTACGATGACCCTATTTAGTGATCTAGCATATTTTTGATCGATTTAAGAGATTTAAGTGGTTGAAGTTTCTACAAAATGTATCATATTTCGGGGGGGAGGGGGGCTGCTCGAGGTGAACGTTGGTGGGTGCCGGAAGTGAACGGTAGTGGTGCAGGTGATGAACGATGTTGATAAAAGACCAACCACAAAAGAAATTGAAATCATAGGGACCATTCTTGTAAATTTTAATAACTAGTTAACGGAGAAACTGTTAAAAACTAACGAAAATGACTTAATAGACATGTTAGCTGTAAGTTTAATGACTTATTGAACAAAAAAATACTTTAGTGAACAAATCGGATAAATAACGATAGTTGATTGGGCTATAGTGACATTTAACCAATATATTAATGTGTCATGTTATCAAGTTATCATTCTTAAAAACAACATAATACTTATAAAAGTTATTCATTAAATATTTGGGTGTCAAATATCAAGGTGACCGTTGTTTTATTTTTTTTATCATAAAATAATCACATAAAGCGTGAAAAACAATTGTGGATCGTAGAATCATACTATTTTTTTCTTTTAAAGGAAAATCTAATATTTTTTTTGGACTTACTATGTAGAATATCCATTTTGAATTGTTTATCATGAAATGATGTATTAGATATGTATTTTTTTTATATGTTTTAAACTATTTATTGTTAACCGAACGGTTAACAGATGAATAAAAATATGTTTTTTACGTTTTAAAATGCATTTGGTAAGATCTTACAATCCGATTCAATCTTACAATTGTTAAAGTACAACACTTGGTCACGTGCATTGGTCTCTTTGCACATTTCTATCCTTTTTACTTTTATGCCCTTTTGTTTCTTTCCAAGTTTCAGTCATTTGACTTTGTCTTTCAAGTAATGAGTATGTTTCCTTTATGTTCTCAAGTAGATGTTAGTGGGTCAGTTACTTTTTGCAGTTTCCGTTTCTATGTAAGCCTCATGGTTATCTAGTTTTCAATTTCTGTAATTTATTCTTCAAGAATATAAAACACACAACCTTTGTGTAAGGTACTTTTGTGTTCCTGTTCTCTGCAAATACTTCATTTAGGTTAACAATCTGGTATCAGAGCCTGGTTCATGGCTGATCTTCAAGTAGTAGGTGGTGTCAAGAAACTCAACAACCAAAATTACAACACATGGTCCACCCGTATCACTTCGTACATGCAGGGGCAAGATTTGTGGGAGGTTGTAAACGGTACTGAGAAAGGGTAACCAGAAGCTGAAGATAACAATGGGGTTCTGCGAAAATGGAAGATCAAGGCAGGAAAGGCAATGTTTATTATGAAGACAACAGTTGAAGAAGACATTCTTGAACACATCCAGGATGATGTGACTCCAACCGAAGCCTGGAAAACTCTTCAATCACTGTTCTCGAAAAAGAATGACACAAAGTTGCAACTTCTGAAAAATGAGTTGCTCTCTGTGTCTCAACGTGAGATGTCTATTCCGCAATACTTCCATAAAGTGAAGTCAACTTGCAGGGAGATTTCTTAACTTGGTCCACTGTCTCAAATCAGTGAGACTCGTATGAAACGGATCATTATACATGGCCTAAAATCAGAATTTAGAAGCTTTGTTGCAGCTATTCAGGGATGGCCTGTACAATCATCCTTAGTTGAGTTTGAAAACCTCTTAGCAGGGCAAGAGGCTCTTGCAAAAAAAATGGGGGAGTCACATTAAAGGCTGAGGAGGAAGCCTTATATGTGGAGAAGGGAAAAGGGAAGGTTAAGACAAAGTACAATTCTAGTTCCAAAAGAAACTCATAGAGAAACAAAAGTCATGGTGATGAAAGAAAGAATCGTGACTATGAGAAGAGATAGCAGCCTGAAGAGGAGCAGAAAATTACTCAAACAAAAAGTTTCCATTTAAATGCTATAACTGCAATAAGAATGATCATAGAGCAAAGGATTTTCCATCAGAACGTACGGAAGAAGGAAATACAGCTACATCTAAAGAAGATGTTTGGGATGCTGAAGCACACTTTGCTAAAGAGAAAGACATTATGGCTCTCACGGCTACAACCAAGAGACGGCTAGATCAGTGGATTGTAGATTCAGGCTGTTCAAATCACATGACCGATGAAAAAAAAATTTATCCAAGATCCAGTTGAGTATGGAGGTAGTCGTGTAGTCGTGATTGCTGATGACTCTAGGTTGCCAATTTCCCATGTCGGTGATGTCAAGTTTCACCCGGAAGAGAACACGAAAGAGATGATGTTACAAAGTGTGTATCATGTCCCTGGGATGAAAAAGAACCTTCTCTCTGTGTCCCAATTAACCTCAACAGGTCACTATGTGCTTTTCGGTCCTAATGATGTAAAAGTATACAAGGAGTTTAAAACCCCATCTCACACAATTGCCAAAGGAAGACGATCAGAGTCTATCTATGTGATGTCCGCTGAAACATCATATGTAGATAAGACAAAGAAGAATCAAAATGTGGATATTTGGCATATGCGTTTAAGTCATGTAGCTTACGACAAAGTCGATATGATGATGAAGAAGAAGCTTGTCACCGGTCTTCCTCAACTCGAAGTAAACAAGAATCTTGTTTGTGCAGGTTGCCAGTATGGCAAAGCTCATCAGTTACCTTTTGAGAAGTCCATGTACCAAGCTAAACAACCGCTGGAACTAGTGCATTCAGATGTGTTTGGACATGTCAAACAGCTCTCACTTGGAGGTATGAGATATATGGTCACTTTTATAGACGATTATTCAAGATTCGTTTGGGTACACTTCATGAAGGAGAAAGCTGAAACATTCAGCAAATTCAAAGAATTTAAAGCTGAAGCAGAAAGAGATGTGAAGCACAGTATACAATGTTTGAGGTCAGACAATGGCGGTGATTATCTTGCTAAAGAGTTTACCGACTATCTAACCAAGCGACAATTGCCATGTCCAAGCACTCCACAATAAAATGGAGTTTCAGAACGAAAGAACCGTTATATTGCTGAGATTAGTGGGAGTATGATCCATGACAAAAATGTCCCAGGTCATTTTTGGGCTGAAGCTATGAAGACAACATCGTATGTCATCAACAGAATTCCTCAGCAAGGTCTTTGGTATGTATCTCCTCTCGAGAAACTCTTGAACATCAAACCTAATGTAAGCCATTTACGTGTGTTTGGTTGTGTATGCTATGTATTTATACCTAGTCACTTGTGGTATAAAATGGAGAAGAAGGCAGTTCGATGCATATTTGTTGGGTATGACCAAGAAAGAAAAGGATGGCGATGCTGTGATCCTAACAGTGGAAAATGTTATGTCTCTAGAAACGTGGTGTTTGATGAAACATCGTCATGGTGGTCTTCAAATCGTGAAACTCTCCCTGATTCAGATGTGCTTAAAGAAGGTTTGGAGTCTTCCAAGATTAATATAAGTATTATTGATGAAGAGGTTGTTGCTGAAGAAGATGTTGCTCATACAGAAGTTCAACAACCATGGCAGACTGGAGTGTTTTATAATGTGCACACTGAAGATGAAAATATTGAGCCAGTAAGTCTTAGACGATCATCTAGACTTAAAAGACCAAATCCTATATATGCTAATGCTGCTATTGTTGAAAGTGGAATTCGTGAACCAGAAATGTTTGATCAAGCATGTACAAAGCGTGAATGGTTGGTCGCAATGGAAGAAGAGATGGCAACCCTAGTCCGAAACCAAACCTGGGAGTTGGTTCCAAAACCTGATGATGTAAAGCCCATCCCGTGCAAGTGGGTGTACAAAGTGAAGAAACGTGCAAATGGTTCAATTGAGAGGTTTAAGGCTTGTTTAGTAGCACGGGGTTTCTCACAAAAAATTGGGCTTGACTATGAAG